CCATTTATAGTTGTCTCTACACGTAATAAACTCACTGGATATGAATTTTCAGTAATCTAAAAAATAATTTTAATCAAGCGAGTTTATCATGTGTAGAGACGACTATAAATGGTTGGGAGATGTATAAAATATACAGATTAATTAAATAATGTGTCTAGAATTAGGGGTGGAAAGGAAGTTGATTGAACAATGCTGGAAAGTGGAGAAATTCTCCTCAAAAGAGCGCAAAAAATATTGCGCCGTAAATTGCACCTTTTTTGCACTACGGGATCTGTAGTGTTATGGTCAAAGACAAATATATAAAACCATAACGCTACAGATCTGCAGCTACTTCCAAATAGTGTTCCTCGTTGTGCCTAATGAGAAAAATAAATATCAGTTTCTGCATGTAACATAATTTTTTTTTCATCTGCTACACATTTAGGGAAATAACAAAAGAACTGCAACACCCTCTTTGTCCGCTACATTCTTTTGAAGATCGATACATCTGAAGCCACTGTATATGCAGTTCACTTTGTTACTATTTCGAGTTATCATTCGTCACCTGTGTAGACGAACGTATGCTATATAGATATTGTAAAACACTCGGTATCGACAAATTAAATAAGGTATTTCTTCCACGACAGGAGGAAAAGATACTAAAGAAACTTACAACAATTGCACAGGTCAGTGCAATATACAAACAAACACAAATACACATTACTATCACATCCAATTCTATTCGAATTGGAGGCTTTTATCGAAGAAAGTGTTAATTTCCCATATTACAAAATCCATAGATCCGCCTATAATCCCTATAATCAATGAGAGTTATTCCCCCTGAGTCAAATTCCGTTAATCCTTTTTCATTCACAGACTATATGAATGAGGTTGGTGCAATTTTAAAGGATAATTTTTTGCAAATTTAGATATTTAGAAAAATAGTTAATGGGTATAATACATATGGATGTTTTTGTTATCTATTTGGTAGTTGTTTGCTGCAATCAATTTAGGAGTATTTATTCATGATTTCCCGATGATCCTTGATTTTATAATGATAATTTTTTCTAGCGTCTGTTGTGGCCATTTTGTATTAGCCGACCACGTTGTATCTATATAAGTTTTCATTAAAACAGATTATATGATGTAAGTATGTGATAAGATATAATGATTATTAAGTCAATTATCTTGATCGTTAGGATTTATATCATATTGCTTTGGCTTAATTAAATTTTCTTTGTTTTATAAATTGATCCGACACGTTTCAGATTTCCATACCAAGGGGAGATAAAAAAAAAATAAAATAAATAAATAAAAATAATATTAATAATAATAATAAAAAAATAATAATAATAAATAAATAAATAAATAAATAAAAAATTAGGCTAACTTTATAAAAAGAAATAATAAAGCATGTGAGAATGAGGAGATAATTAATTTAAATTTCTTCTTACAAATATAAAAAATAATATATATATATATATATAAATAAAGAATTTTCTTTTCTTTTCTGAACACGATGCCACCGAGAGCTAAGAAGCGTAGAATGGCTCAACCAGCAGCGACTGCCACACAGCAGCCAAGTGGTAGTCAGGCTACGGTGTCTGTGAATTCCCAGACGTACTCGTCGACGGCGTCGGCAGGATGTCCAGTACATGTACCAATACCACCGACCCAGGCTCCATCAACTTCCGTTGTGGGGGAAGCGCAACCCATGTTGACGACAAGTGCAGGGCCATCCTTTGCACCGACCACCTCTGGAGCAACAATCTCAACTCCAACAGATGTTGGTACCACCCCTGCTCCTGTCCCATCAATACATATGATTGGTATGAATGTTTCTAGCACAGTCAAACAACGTATTATTAGTGGGCAGTATATTGATTTGGCCACATTGGTAACACCAAAATCAGGGTCTGATGAAAAGAAATTAGTTATGAATAGTATGGGTGAGATAATTTATAAAGATGCCAACCCAAAAAAGGTAGAAAATATTGAGCAATGGACTGACCTTATGCTCATATTTGCAAGTGTGTACTTGAGTGCACATCCCGCCAAGACTCTTGACCTACTTAAGTACATACAGACCGTAAGAATGGGTGTTAGCAGGGGGGCTATATCTTGGAAAGAATATGATACGCAGTTTAGGCTGCGCAAAGAGCAAAATCCTGTGTCTTCTTGGGGTGAAATTGACTCGGAATTATGGTTGATGTATATGCATTCTGGGCCCGCTTATAACGTAACAAATGCACCCAAAACCAATAATGATAAATGCTTCAATTTCAATTACAAGGGATCTTGTGACAAATTCCCATGCATGTATAAACACAGTTGTATTCGATGTGGTAGTAACCATCCACAGATACATTGCCTTACACAAGCCTCAAACACTGGGTCCGCACAAATATTTCGCCAACAAAATTCAAGTGGTCAATTCTATGGACAGTCAAGTTTTCGTCCACAAACCACCAATGCAAATACCAACTATAAGGGGTATTCAACCAATGCAAATACCAATTATAGGGGGTATTCCAGCAGCAACACCCAGCGCCCCACCTACTCAAGACCAAGATTCCGCACCCCGCAATCTATGGCGTCTAGGTTCAACGCCTATTAATGTACACGCCCTTAAAAAATGTCTCGTCCACTATCCTAACAGAATCATAGCAAATCGCCTAATCCAAGGGTTCTCTCAAGGGTTTAAACTTCATTATCATGGGCCTAGATTACCAATTCAATGTAATAATTTGAAATCCGCGGACGATCATCCTAATGAACTTAAAGAGAAAATCGATAAAGAAATTGAAATGGGGAGGATACAGGGTCCTTTCACGAAAATACCAATTTCTAATCTTAGGTTATCTCCAATTGGGCTAGTGCCGAAGGGGGATAATTTGGGCTGGCGTCTAATAACGCACCTCTCTTTCCCGAAGTTTAGTAGTGTAAATTCATACATAGATCCTTGTGAAACTGCTGTACAATATTCATCCTTTGATTCAGTGATTCAGATGATTGCTAAATTAGGGAAGGGGGCTTTCATAGGTAAGCGAGATATAAAATCCGCATTTCGACTTCTTCCAATATTTCCCGGCGATTTTGATCTCCTGGGTTTTAAATTTCAGGGTAATTATTTCATAGACAAATGTTTACCTATGGGGTGCTCCATTTCGTGTAAGGTTTTCGAGGATTTTTCTACAATTTTGCAGTGGGCTACGATACAGCGCTCTAAAACATCAACAATGGATCATTATCTAGATGATTTTATATTTGCTGGGAGGGATGCCCATTCCTGTCAAGATCTTATGTCGAATTTTCAAGACGTCTGCGATGATATAGGTGTTCCTATTGCCGAGGACAAATCTGAAGGCCCTACTATGGTTATGACATTTTTAGGTTTTGAGATAGATACTTATCATATGCTAGTTAAGATCCCCAATTCAAAATGCTTAGAGCTACAGGGTATTTTACACCATCTCGTTGTTCAACGCAAGATGACACTCCAACAATTACAATCTGTTTTAGGTAAACTGAATTTCTTTACAAGAGCCATAAGACCAGGTAGGGCATTTCTGCGTCGGCTTTATAATGCTACAATAGGAGTTTCAGAATTACATTATCACATAAGGATAACTCAATCAATGCGACAGGACTTGTACATGTGGATTAATTTTCTTGAATCATTTAATGGGACTGTGTATTTTTTAGATATTGAGTGGACGTCAGACAACAACATTAATTTTTACACAGATAGTTCCGGTTCGTCTTACTTGGGATGTGGTGCTTATTTCAAAGGGGAATGGTGTTTTTACCCTTGGCCAGAGACCTGGGCGTCCAATGACCTACTTAAAGACATGACCTTTTTAGAGTTAGTTCCGGTGGTCTTGGCCGTCTATTTATGGGGTAACAAACTCGCTAATAAAAAGATCATTCTCCATATAGACAATCAAGCTGTAGTCGCTATAATAAATAAACTCACTTCTAAATCAGAGCGGGTCATGAAACTACTTAGACCATTTGTCCTTGCTTCTATGAATTATAATATTCTGTTTCGTGCAGTTTACATACCAAGTAAAGACAATGTAGTTGCTGATTCAATTTCTCGTAAGCAGTGGGCCAGATTCCGACAAGCAGCTCCACATGCCAGGGAACACCCTTGCCCAGTGCCCCTATCTTTCCGCAACATCATCTCCAGCCTGAGTTTGCTAAACTTTTAGACGCCTCAGTATCTGAAAACACACATAAATCTCATCGGGCTGGAATGGCAGCATATTACAAAGTATGTAGACTCATTGATTGCACGCCATGGCCCCCTACATTAAACTCAGTCGTGCAATTCGTTTTGCATTCATCATCATCCGGCCTCGCATATGGTACCGTGAGGTCATACTTGTCTGCCATTTCATTTTATTGTAAATTGCAGAGTGTTCACGATCCAACCCCAGAGTTCTTGGTTACAAAGTTATTGCAGGGCATGAAACGTTTGAGACATAAAGTAGATACTAGACTGCCAATAACGAAAACAATTTTGCTAAATATTATTCAAGTTCTGCCCATAATATGTACCAATGCTTTTGAAACAGCTCTTTTCTCGGCTGCATTTTCCCTGGCATTTCATGGATTTTTAAGAGTTGGCGAATTAACAGTTAATACAAGAGAAGGTGATCAACAAAACACAATTCAATTCGACAATTTGTCCATTAATCACGAAACGCAATCTCTCTTACTGACTATCCGGTATTCGAAAACGGACCAGTTAGGTAAAGGCACAGTACTTCAAATAGATAAGCAGGGTGGTGTAGCATGTCCATATCAGCTCATTACTAAATACGTCAGCATCCGTCCAGAGGGTTCAGGTACATTATTTCGACACTTCGATTTATCCCCACTCACACGATATCAATTTACGGGGGTACTTTGTAAGGCAGTAAAGCACCTAAATTTGCCTGGTATCTCAGGATACAAATCTCACTCTTTTCGTATCGGCGCGAGTACTGATCTCGCGTTAAAAGGATTTTCAACTCATGACATTCAGAGATCTGGTCGTTGGAAATCTGATTCTTGCAAATCCTACATTCGCATACCAAAGTTTTAATCTAATTTTAGATATACAGACAATATGGTTGGTGGGTTCATCAATAATCAAGCACGCCTTTTTGGAAGCTGTATTAAGACCAGGTGGTACAAATTTGACATTAGAAAGAAAACACATCTCACTGTGGTGGCAGGGTTATAGTGGCCTCCAGTTAAGTAAAACTAAACAAAAGATTAGAACTCTTGGAAAGGTGGGCCCTGTACCTAATTTCATCCTTATGCATTGTGGGGGGAATGACTTGGGCAATGTATCGATCAGAAAAATAAGGGTGGTTGCAAAGCAGTTGGTTTTATTTCTAAGGAATCACTTTCGAAACAGTAGGATTATATGGTCATTTATACTTCCGCGTCCCCAATGGCGCTATTCAGCAAATTTAAAAGCTATGGAAAATGCACGCAAACGGGTTAATTCTGGTATAGCTGCAATTGTCTTGCAATCTGGGGGCGCAATAATTCGCCATTCAGACATTAAACCTGATCCAGCTTTATTTTTACAGGATGGGGTACACTTATCCTCGTTGGGGAATAACATTTTTCTAAACTCTCTCCAGGGGGGACTTGAGGCTATCGTTGCCCATGGTCAATCCTGCTTTCCCAATTAGCAAGGGTCCTGGGTACGGCTGTTCGTATATGCCGCTCTACCCCCACCATGGTGGCGGAGTTCCCTGGATGAGTTTCATTCTGATCCTCATCTCAGGGAACTTGTGGCGTATAAGCGGCATTTTGGTAATTATATTGTAAGCTTTGACCTCTGCACCTCCCAGGGTCAATGCTTTCTATATATATATATGGTGAACTTTGAACTTTGATGTTGTGAACTTTGAACTTTTGATGTTGTATGAACTTTGACTTACCACTATATGAACTTTGACCTTTGGTAATGACCTTGATATATGATTTGCTTTGATGTTGAATGTTGTTTGTGCATTTGATTGGGGCATGCTCTTGTCTTGGCTGCCCATTCCCCATATGATATTGTTTGTTTTGCATTTGAAACTAAATAACAGCCGTGCCCATAATATCGCCACACTTTAATAAAATTAATTTCAAGTTACCATTTGTTTGCGTTACACTTTTCTGAGATAATATCACATCCAATTCTATTCGAATTGGAGGCTTTTATCGAAGAAAGTGTTAATTTCCCATATTACAAAATCCATAGATCCGCCTATAATCCCTATAATCAATGAGAGTTATTCCCCCTGAGTCAAATTCCGTTAATCCTTTTTCATTCACAGACTATATGAATGAGGTTGGTGCAATTTTAAAGGATAATTTTTTGCAAATTTAGATATTTAGAAAAATACCCTCCTCACCCAACCCTTATTCGAATAGATTTTTGCGCTGTGTTTTTCTTTCTATTGCAGCTGTCCTACAAAAGGATCACTTAATATCAAATGGTACGGCTGTTACAAGAAAAAGTCTACCTGGAGACCAACTTAGATGAACTTTTCGCAAACCTTGGCCACTGCTCCTCCCAGGGCCAATGTTTCCTAAACAGTGACTGATATATAAACGACAAGTAAAGAAGGCACATAAGCGGCATGTAATTCGTAATAAATATATCGTAAATAACACCTCTGGCGTATAAGCGGCATTTTGGTAATTATATTGTAAGCTTTTACCTCTGCACCTCCCAGGGTCAATGCTTTCTATATATATATATGGTGAACTTTGAACTTTGATGTTGTGAACTTTGAACTTTTGATGTTGTATGAACTTTGACTTACCACTATATGAACTTTGACCTTTGGTAATGACCTTGATATATGATTTGCTTTGATGTTGAATGTTGTTTGTGCATTTGATTGGGGCATGCTCTTGTCTTGGCTGCCCATTCCCCATATGATATTGTTTGTTTTGCATTTGAAACTAAATAACAGCCGTGCCCATAATATCGCCACACTTTAATAAAATTAATTTCAAGTTACCATTTGTTTGCGTTACACTTTTCTGAGATAAATTAAATTTTGTAACTACAAATCAAGTGTAAAGCTGCCAGGTGTAACTAATGAAAAGGGTATACCCTCAAGCTTATATCAAAGATAGAAAAATATGGTATATGCTTACTTTTACAAGTCGTATTTAGCTGTAAGATTTTTGTAAAAATACCTTTGTCTTTTTCTCGCTGCGACGAAAAAGTATATCACCTATAGTCAAAGTGGACATTGCTGAAGTCGGAGGACTTGGTGGACTCCGAGGCCTTGGTGGAGTCGGAGGCCTTGGTGGAATCGGAGGCCTTCCATCTTCAACTTGCTCATTTATATCCCCAAATAACTCTTCAATGTCTTCTTTTCCGAAAGTACCTGGTTGAAATATTGGAACAGAAACCTCTGATATCTCTGGAATATCCATGAGTCTGTTTATGGCCTCAATTCTTTCATTTTGCGTCATTATGAATTCTGCTTGCATTTCAGTTGATCTTATGGCTTCATTTTCCTCAAGAACGCTCTCTACTTTAGAAATGAAATCCGTTATTTTCTTTTCTTCATTATGCAACTCAAGCATCAAGGATTCTTCAATGTCCGTCAAAATTTCATTTTTCTCATTAAGTATCACGTCAACAAGGCGTTTGATATCCTCTGCTGTGGAATTCAAATCGGATCGTATGGTTGAAATCTCATCTATGCATATTGTTTTATTTTGTTTAATTTTTGTTAATAAATCTGAACTTTCTGTGAGAGTTACTTCTCTTACTTGATTGACCAGATCCATAAATTCTTTCAGTTTGGATTTGAAAGCATCTTCTATGTCTGTTAACTGATGGCCAATATGGAGGTCCTTCACGCACTTCATGCATACAGGCATCATCTCACAATATTCACAACAGGCTTCATACATTTTGTCAGGATGATCTCTGCAACGCTCCTGTTTTGATTTTGATTTCTCCCGCTGGCTGTATGGGACTACGTCATGTAGGTTTCTCTGATGTTGATTTTCACATTCTTCACAGAGGTTAACTTTACAGGTGTTACAATGAAACTGAGCGTTGGAGTCACAGACGGTGCATTCAACATAATGCTGTGCAAACCCAATGTCCAACTCATTCCTGTAAAAAATTACACTATGTAATTTTTGCAATAGTTCAGGTAATGCTATTTTAGTGTCAACTTTTAATTTTAAAAGGGGTATCTTTCCTTATACATATACATGGTGTTAGTATATTATTATTCCCGCGGTGTTAGTATATTATTATTCCCGTGCAAAAGAAAGGTGATGTGTCAGATCCCAATAAATTTAGAGCAAAGGCACTTGTTTCTGTAATATAATTTTTCAACCCATAATGATAACACAAGGTATATCCAACTCCGAATTACACGGATGACCCCTTTCCCCAGAATCGCACTCATTAACACTTTCAAAGGGAATACACTGGCAAACTGTTTATTTCCAGTGTCTTCTTCGATAATTTATGTACACAACCATATGTGGCATGCTTGTCTTTATTACATGGACATGGTCATTATATTAATATAGGAGGCGGGGGTCTCATTATACCCCCCGCTTGAATATTGGGAGGGTATACTTTAATCGGTATGTCCGTCCGTCCGTCTGTCTGTTAAGCTTTGGGGTACCTATCTCTTATCCGCAACTCGTCTTATACTACTGAGTGAAATTTAACGAAACTTTAACAGAATCTTTATTAAACACCGGTATTGCCATTGTGCAGCTCCTATTTTACTTTTCGATCCGACAGGTAATTTGGGTTTCCTGGCCACAGCGAAACATGGACTTTGCCATTATAACCATATAGGAGGCGGGGGTATCTTTTAGTGAGCTCATTGCTCGCAGTACTTCTAGTTTAGCTATGTTGGCATTATTTATAGGTCACCTGAGTATCATGTAACAACTTTCCAACAATTGAATTTGGTTTGTGTTTTTGACCAAAAGACATGAAATTCACAATTTGTTTATCATAATTACACTTAGCATGCTTACTTTGATTACTTTATACCCAGAGGTAGATCAGAGTAACAAAGAGAAATTGCTTTTGCATTTTATAACCACCAGTTGTACACCCTTTTCATGCAACAATTTTCATTTTATTCATCTTTATAAGATTAAAGGTTTTCGGAAGTCTTAGAAAAGGTTTTATAAAAGGAAAAATATTAATAAAGTTTTTAAAAAATAGATCGTCTTGAATCCAGCCTTAGATACCAATGCTTACTAGCATGATATGAAATAAAAGTGATTTGTGATGTCTTGCAATGATAGTAAAAGCCTTTTACACTATATATATTATAGAATACATGACGGAAATAGAAGACAAAAAATACCAAAAAAGTATAAAAATCATGACAATTTCTCTGAATACCTGAATACCTATCGTTTTTTAACCTAATATATATTTGTTGATCAAAATTCAAATAGAAAATGCACTGCATATATTTCAATTTTCTGCAAAAATATTGGAGATTTGACAATTTTCCCTATATAATATGATTAACATTAATCTTTAAAGAAATACTGTGGATAAAATTACATATTACATATTAACTTTGTGGATTCTGAGGTACTTTTATGAGTATTTTGGATTACTTAACTGCTAATTTTATAAACCTGAGGATCGGAGTACCTTGATATCAAAAAACATAGGTAATCAGAGATTACAGAGCTCACCTCAACGAATGTTGTCTTTAAGTAAGGCAAAGTCACACAATTCACCAAAAATAAGTGTACAGCCCAAAATGAAAATATTTATGCAATTTTGATCTGATACTTTGAAATAGAGCTATATAAAAACTTCTAACTAGTTCTTTTTCATGAAAATGTAATTAAAATCCAGCATCTGAAGCAAATTTGAGAGTTTTCATCCCTTGATGCATCATTTGTGCAAGTTTGGTTTATACAATGTTATATAAGCCTTATAGTGTTTTGGTAATAGAACTGCATCCATAATTTTTACCTGGTCCATTATCTGAAAAATGTATGTCTAATTCAGCATCCGAAGCAAGTCCATTAGTGCGGATCCTAAGATGTATCGTCCATGCAAGTTTGCTCATTATAAGGCTCATAGTTACTTGGAAATGAAACCTGCACCAAAAACTTTAACCTGTTCACTCAACCGGAAAATGTAGGTCAGATTCAGCATCCGAAGTAAGTCTGGTAGTATGCATCCTTAGATGTACCATCCATGCAAGTTTGGTCATAATAGGGCTTCAAGTATCTTGGAAATAAAAACTGCACCTAAAACTTTAACCTGTTCACTCAACCGGAAAATGTAGGTCAGATCCAGCATTTGAAGTGAGTCTGGTAGTATGCATCCTTAGATGTACCATCCATGCAAGTTTGGTCATAATAGGGCTCAAAGTATCTTGGAAATGAGACCTGCACCAAAAACTTTAACCTGTTCACTCAACCGGAAAATGTAGGTCAGATTCAGCATCCCAAGCAAGCCTTGTAGTATGCATCCTTAGATGTATCATCCATGCAAGTTTGGTCATTATAGTGCTCATAGTTACTTGGAAATGAGACCTGCACCTAAAACTTTAACCTGTTCACTCAACCGGAAAATGTAGGTCAGATTCAGCATCCAAAGCAAGTCTGGTAGTGTGCATCCTTAGATGTAGCATCCATGCAAGTTTGGTCAACATAGGACTTATAGTTACTTGTAAATGAAACCTGCACCAAAAACATTCACCTGTTCACTCAATCGGAAAATGTAGGTCAGATTCAGCATCCGAATCAAGCCCGGAAGTATGCATTCTTAGATGTATCGTCCATGCAAGTTTGGTCAACATAGGGCTTATAGTTCCTTGTAAATGACACCGACACCAAAAACTGCACCAAAAATGTTACCTGCTCCAAAAACCTTAACCTGGTCATTCCTTTGATGAAATTGCAGCATCTGAAACTTTGACTGGTACAATGAAACACACTAGAAGCATCTTCCATGCATGTCTAATCAATATAAGACATAGAAGTACTTTAAAAGAAAACTGCTCCAAAAAACTTAACCTGGGACGGAGACACCGACGCCGACGGGGACGCCGAGGGTATTACATAAGCTCCCCCAACTTCGTTGAGGTGAGCTAATCAGATTTCAAAGCATTAATTTATGAATTATATATTTTCAGACTAAGGCCCCCGAAACCCTGACGCAGGGGCCCTAAAATTGACCATTTGGAAGAGGCACTGTTCTTCATCATAAATATGTATTTAGATCATTGGCATAATACCCAGGAGCAAAGGAAAATATTTTCACTAATTAATCATTAGAGCTCCACCCTAACACTAGAACCCCTGACCCAGGGGCCCTGAAATTTACAAATTGGGAAGAATCGTTCTATCTCATATGTTAATAATTTATTGATTAAATTCCCAGGGGAAAAGGAGAAGATTTTCAAAGAATTAATGCATTTTACTATATAATCAATAGAGCCCCGCCCTAACACTTAAACCCTTGACCTTGGGGCTATGAAATTCACAATTTTGAAAGAGGCAGCCTTATTCAACACTGTCATGTACTTGGTTAGTTTGTTTAATACCCAGGAGCAGAGAAGAATATTTTTCAAGAATGTATTTTCACTATATAATCAATAGAGCCCCTGACTCAGGGGCCATAAAATTTACAATTTTGAAAGAGGTATATAAATTGAGCCCTACCCTAACACCAGGATCCCCCGATCCAGGGACCATAAAATTCACAATTTTGAAAGAGATCTTGGTCATCATAACTATGTTGGTTTGTTTGTTTAATACCCAGGAGCAGAGAAGAAGATTTTAAAAGAATTTATGCATTTTTACTATAAAATCAATAGAGCCCCGCCCTAACACTAGAACCCCTGACCTTGGGGCAATGAAATTCACAATTTTCAAAGAGGCAGCCCTATTCAACATAACTTTGTGCTTAGTTAGTTAATTTAATACCCAGGAGCAGACAAGAAGATTTTCAAAGAAATAATGCATTTTTCACTAGATAACCTATTTAGCCTCGCCCTAGTACTAGAACTCCTGACCCTGGTGTCATTAATTTCACAATTTTGGTAGACGATTACATGTTGATTACAACCATGACAGAAGATTTTTAAAGATTGCATTAATTTTAGCGGTTTTGGTCCAACCCCTTTAGTCCCGGGGGGGGGGGGGGCAAGGACTACGACATTCACAATTTTCGTTTCCCTTCACCCATAGACGCTTTCTGCCAGAATTGATTGAAATTGGTTCAGGGGTTGCAGAGAAGAAGCTAAAATTGTTCAAATGTTAACACACGGCAGACTACGCACACCGCCGGACGAAAACGGATAGCAATAGGTCACCTAAAAATTGTTTGGTTGCCCTCTCCCGACCCACTGACTAAAAATTGCCCGACTCAAGATTTTTTTAATATTCCTGAATAGGATTTTTCTTTTTATTCCTTTTATTCCCTAAAAATAGGTTGAAATTTTTAGTGACAGAAAAAGATTTTCCACCTACGGTACCTATACATGTACCAACCCAATAATTTTACCCTGAGTCGAAAGAGGGCAAGCAAACATTATCTTAAAGATGGCCTTACATCTCATTTTCCAAAAAAGCATAGCGATATTTCATGATGTTATTTTAGAAACAGATTTAAGCCAATCAAAATCTCTGACCGAACACAAGCAGTGAGATCTATCCACATGACTAGATCATCAATAGGTGAAATTGATACTAAGAGCGAGCAGTGAGACATACAAACAACAGGTCTGATACACAGACCTTGATAAAGCATAATTATACCTAAGGGATATAGATCAAAACCCAAGTCCCCGTCGTTTATTCAAGGTAGATTAAGAGTGGGTGCCTCCCTTTTATCAGATCTAATATACCGTACGTGTACTTAAATTAGCGAGCTTCGTATTATAGCGGCTTTGGCGCTAATGATGCGCTAATTCATGAATACTGCTAAGAATTCAATAGAATATAAGGAACGAACATGTGTACCGCTAATTCATGATTACGCAAACAACTCCATATCCATTGATTGCGGTAAATTTTGAATAAGCCAAAATTATGTAGACGTACAGTATTTAAAATCAAAAGTAAACGAAAGTATTGATTATTTCCAAAGCGTAATAAATTGTTGAAAGCGGGAGGGTATATAGTAATCGGTTATCCGTCCGTCCGTCTGTCTGTTACGCTTTTTGGTAATCATCTCTTATCCGCAACTCCTCTCATACCACTGAATAAAATTTGGCAGAAACTTTCACAGAATCTTTATCACATATTGCCATTGTGACCTTTTTTTTTAAATTTTTTGATCCAAAACATATTTTAGGTTTCCCATAGCAAAATATGGACAATGCCATTATACTCATATAGGAGGCAGGGTATGATTTAGTAAGCTCACTGCTCACAGTACCTCTAGTTTCCTTCAGGTAGGTTGCCATTTTTTTTTGGCTGTCCCTTCAAAAACGATACACTTTATATTCAGATGCCTGCATTCAAGGTTGTATATCCGATAGACGAAAAAAAGCCCGATATGTGGTATTTAGGACTGATATTATTTTTGAAAAGTTTCAGGAATGCTTTATTGCATGTGGGAAAAAATTCAACTTTCTTTCATCTTCAAAGCAATTTAGTTTATCACAGCCTAGCAACCATTCACAAAACGAAAGTAGGGGTAAAATTTTGTAATTCTAGAAATGTGTTGTTAAAAATATTTTTCCGTTTTTAATTATTATTATATATTCCTGAATAAACCAATACTTACTTTCTAGATCGTCTCTTATACATCGCAAACTAAGAATTTAACTGAAGAGCAAAGGGCTTCTTGA